CATAGATAAATTAAACCTTTCAAATAACAGCGCTGTGTATATTTCAGCATCATCAAGACAAACTCCACTGACAAAAATTTACCCAGTAGAGAAAAATCCAAGACTCTGCTTTAAACCAATTGACCATCAAACAAACATACAATTCACATTTAAGTTTAAAAGAAACAACAACATCAAAGACAACACCTTTCAAAAACACACAAATCCCAAACAATCCATCAAAACACACAACTCCAACAATCCCAAGAAAAAGCAGACACTACGCCCGCAAAGTTGACTAAAGCAGTGTGCTCGGCTCACCACAAAAGCTCAAATCCCGGCAGTTTAGATTAAATTAGAATATCGCTCAAATCAAAACAGGAAAATAAAAACCCAAGAAACGAAAAGAATCCAAAAACCAAGAAAATAGGGGCTCTGGCTCACTCACTCATGAGATGAAGAAAGAGATGGTCATTAATGAAGCGAGAAGCATCAGGTCCACCGTGTCCGTCATAAACACCAACAAAGGTGGCGTCTCGGCCGGTCTCCACCTGGCTGTGATCCTCAATAACTTCATTGGCCTGCACGACAGCGAACGAGAATTCTCCATAGCTGTGCCTGTCGAGGCTTCTGCACCACAGCAAAGGGTCCTCCAACGACGAGTCGTCCACCTCATCCTTGTTCATACGGGCATATCTCCGCAATGGCTTCCAACACGTACACGCTATCCTTGTCAGCCACGAAAACATCCCTCATTTCCCAACAACAACCCCGACAACTGCTACTTTCCTCTGTAATCCGACAACCCTTTCGTGGATTTCAGGTGCTCTTTGAGAAAATTAAAGATTTGGGTCGCTTGTTTTTGAATGAAGTTTCAAAATTTGGGAAGATTTTGGAGGATTGGCAAAATCCAAAAGGAGTTGTGATTTTTGAGACAAAAGGTTCAAGGGGTCTGTGGGTTTTTCTGAGTCTTCCTCTGTCCTTCTCTCTGTGCGTTTAGAGAGAGAAAGAGGAGGGAGGGAGAGAGAGAGAGAGAGGGGTTTTGCAGAGCAACAAGGACTGCGTGGAAGGGAAGGGGAAAGTTGACGAAAGAAAGCGTGTGAGAAGCGCTCTATTCTGCTTTGTTTTTTCGAAATGGTGTTTGTAAATTGACGGAAATGTCACTGGTGTGATGACGAAAGCGGATTTGGCAAAACATTGTTTTCAAATTGTTTTTGTTTCTTTTTTTTCTTTTTCTTTTTTTAAGAATTCAAAATATTTTCTTTTGTGGGGCCTCACCTCTCACTTTATACATGTCACTATCACCAAATTGTCTTTTTCTCTAAATTTCTCGTTTTATTTAATTCTTGAACAATTTCAAAAAATGTAAATTAAAAAATGATCGAAGGCTTTTTAGTGATGATGACATCATTTTTGTAATTTTAATATGAATTAAATGTAACTGTGAAAATAAAAGTATTTTATAAGGAGCTAAGATCATCTCGGAGTAAGATTTTCTTCTCTTCTATTTACATCCTCTTTCCTCCCATCTTCTCACAGATTATTTTTTGTTTTCTTCTAGCTATTAAAAAATGAACCAAAAACATTGACGTGACTTAACTGTAACTGTTCAAATAGGAGGAGATGGAAAGGGAGAGAGATTAGGATGGGAGAAAATCATACTCCGACCATCTCCAACTTTTGGGTTAAAACATAAACTTTTTAACCTAGAAAATCTATGTTTTAACTCAGAGGCAATTTTTCTGTTCCCAACCTGAATTAAATTTTTAGCCCGAGATTATTTAAAATGAATTTAAGCTTTTTTTTAATTAACTTTTTTTTATTAAAAAATATGTAGATTATCCTCATTTAATTTTATAGACATTTTAACTTAAAAATATTTAGTTTCTGATGAATATTGAAAAATACTAAATTGACACCATGAAATTCATGGAACACTAGAAATAATTCTTTTAAGTATTTTAATCATTAGATTTAAATTTGGATTGTTATGTTTTTTTACCGTTAGATTTTATCATATTAGATCTCAGCAGTTGGATTTAATGAATATATAAATATAAAATTAAAAATTAAATAAATTAAATTTGGACCGTTGGATCAACCAACGTCCAATTAACCACAACTGTTTGATGAAGGAAAGAGTCGTTGGGCTCGGACTGGTGAATGATACACCTATGTGCCTTGGACCCCTGCATTGCCAGCTCCTTGAGAGTTGGGGTGTTAGGCGCGTCAAATTTGTCGTGGCTTGGTTTCTGGTGGGCGCGTCTAGTCACACTAGTGGGCCAACCCACTAACCCTTGCTAAATCCTGGTTGAAAAGTGCCCAAAAAAATGAGTTTTAACCCAAAACTCATTTTTGCATCAAGGGTTTAGAGCAAGTTGGGTGAGTTTATAACCTAAAATTTAAGTTTTACTTCAAGGGTTGGAGTAGGTCTAAGAGGGCTAGTAGCTCAAGATATAATGCTTATATAACCAAACAAAATTACGCTAGTTAGTTGGAGCAGTATAACGCCTCCTTACACCCAAATTCTAAGTTGGAATTAAAGCAATCAATATTGCTTTGTCAAAACAGAACTTCCTTAACGAAAACAATTACTTTATATGTATTTGTAGCCTTAATTTTTATCATGAATATTTATGTCAAACTAAAGATCTAGTTTTGAACTATTAAAAAAGTTTTTATTTCACTTTCTCCTCATGCTTAACACTTACATAGCATGTACACAATCGCTCATATGATTAAAAAGAGGATAATTGATTAGCCAATGCAGATTTCAAAAGTGTGATTTTCTCTTTTAGCTATAATATTATAAAAAGAAAAATTAATGAAAAAGATTTGAAAACTTTGAGTTTAACGATAAGAACAAAATAAAGAGTAAAATGAATAGTATCAGGTTTGATTTTTTAGTGTAAAAATATGATTTTTCGTTAAATTGAACAATATTGTAGGCTTTTCGTTAAAACTCCTCCCTATTATAAATGGGGTGAAGCAAATTGTGCGTTGACCTTAAATAATGACAAAGTCTATGCCTCCTCTTCCCCTGAAATTGAGATTGTATGAAGCTTCCTTTTAGCATCATAAAACCTTTAGATTCCTACAAATTACAATATCCATCCCATGTGGCATGTGCAACTCTCTTTTCTTTTTCTTTATGGCTTATGAAATTTATGAATAATCTCTACTAATTAATAAAACACTCATTGTCAACCAAAAAATTTTATAAAATTATCAATTTAACCTTCTAATTAAAACAGAACATGAACATGAAATATGAGGCAAAAATGTAATTTCACACAAATAAATTTTGATTTTTTTTTCAAAACCTCACCTACATATAATCATAACATATCTGTAATTAAAAAAATTAAAAAATTAAAAAAAAAACCCCCACTCCCACATTATCTATCACTCTCTTCCTCTCTCCTTCTATTTCAAAAACAAAAATAAAAAATCTTCTCACACACAAATGTGTGCCCATATACTAGTAATAATAATAATAAGCACTACAACTTATCTTCCCCAGTTATATCCAACTATTTAAAATTAGTCACGATTATTTATTTATTTAATTTACAATATATAAATATATATATATATATATATATATATATATATATTTGAGTAGACTTTTTGGACAAAATATTCGATCATAATCATGATATGAGATCCAACCCTAGAGAACACGTGTGAGTGATCTGGGTAGGTGTAACCATGAATTGTAAGGTCATCTCCAACCAAGAGTTGGCCAGATGACTCGTTTTAGCCCTTTGGCCCTCCAAGATTCTCCAAGATATTAATATTTTAATGAACAGTACAGAGCCATATTTGCCTTCATCTCCAACCGAGAGCCAGAGGGCTAGAGGGCTCGTTTTAGCCCTGCCACAAAAAATTGTCTCCAACCGAGGGCCAAACATAATTTATTATTTAAATTTAAAAACTACAACAACTTAAATTCAAATCCAACAACTTAAATTTAAAAACTACAACGAAAACTGGTCCAAAAAACCAAAACAATTAGAATTTAAATTTAATGAATGGTTTAGGTATTTATAAGAAAAAAAAAATTAGAATTTTTAAGAATTTAAAAAAAAAAATGGCCCAAAAAATCAAAAAAAAAAAAAAAAATTTGAATACAACGGCTAGTTGACTAGCCATTGTATCCAAATTTTTTTTTTTAAACAATCCTGTCAGTTATAACCAACAGAAAAGCTATATTTTCTGGCCAGCCAAGCAACCAGCCCTCCAGCCCCTAGCCCTCTCTGATTCTTTGAGATCCTCTCAGATTCCACAGCCCTCTGGCCTAGCCCTCTGTTAAAGACGGTTTTCGGATTATTTTCAGCCTTCTGATCCTCTAGACCCTTCGATTAGAGATGACCTAAAGATTATCAGGAAACCAACCTTTGCCCTTTTTTCAGGAAACCAACCTTTGTCTTTTTTTATGAACGGAGGAAATGCAGCGGAGGTAGGAGGAGGGAGGGACGGCATGTTGCTTTCCAAGAAATTAATAGAAAATTAAAGGCTCTCCATAACACATGCAGCATGTGAGTAACCGTGGCTTTTTCGTTTCTGTCACAGCTTTCACTATTCAGGTTGCCTTCTCTCTCTCTCTCTCTCTCTCTCTCTCTCTCTCTCTTTGTGATAATCTAGAAAGATGATGAATCCACTACAACACACACAGAGGGGCATTCATGGGATGATGGTACAGTTGGAGATTGAAGATGTCGTTGTTGCCACGGATGGGATCAGATTTGACTCCATGAATCCCATCAGACGATTGTGCTGTCCTTATGGTCAACATCACATGTACAAGTGCTGCTCTTTTATTTGGCCAACAAATTGGGTTAGAAACTCCATTTCTTCTATATGGATAAGAGGAGGTGGAGAATTTTTATTAGTAGAGGGTGGACACGTTTCGGTTTAAATATTCGTCTTATTAGGTATAATTCGGATTTTGGGTTGAAAATTAGACCGAACCGATTGTGTTAGGAAACTAAAACTTCATACCAAACTAATAAAATTCGTGATAAAAAAAGCATCTTTATACTAATATACAATGAATTTGAACCACGCATTTGAAAAATGGACGATCAGATTAATACTAAGAGGGTGTTTGTTCGTTGAGCTAGACAATGTCATTGATCAAACGCTTGTGCCTGTTGTAATGCTTTTCCATGAAAACCTTTGAAGCTCCTTCAATGGCCATTCTCCATGTCTGCACATAACATCATGACAAACACAAAAAAGCATCAATATAAGTTGACTTTTCATTCCCACTTGTAAATTGTAACAATATAAAAGTTCACAAGTTTTTATCAATGAAAAAAAAATAAGTCCGACTATAATGTTAAGTCTCATTCAGCAGTACGAGTTTTATGTAAGATATAACCGCTACAAAATTTTTAGATCCCTATATGCAAGATTTAACTATTTTACCCTCCCCCCTCCTCTCCCCTTAATAAAAATGGAGATAGGCAGGTTGGTTAGTTAGCTGGCAAATTGGACCAAGCTAGTGACAGCTTTACTAACAGGTCCAACAGGCTGCACCACAGAGTTGCCGTAAAACCCTAAACCCTAATGAACAATCTACAGATGATGGGGTTGGGGGTGGGTGGTGGGTGGTGGGTGGGTGGGGAGAGATGTTGGACCCTGCTCTACTAATGCTTTCTATATGCCTCAGATCACACAAGGACTGATGCACTGTTTTCGGGTTTAGGGTTTACAATTTAGGACAAAAGAACTAAAGCGGTATTAGATTTTTTTTTTCACAAGCGATATTGGAGAAAAGGACAATCAATGCAGGACCTCATAATCTCGTATCTATGTGTGAGTATAAGCATTTACTTTTTCATCCAATGTACCGAGTACGAAACTCCCTTCCTAACTATCGCTGGTATCAAAACACATTTTATGTAATGTAATAAATACAAAAATAACAAAAATCTAACCTTGTGAATTGTGCCAAAGAGGGACTTGTTCCTGATATCCCTAGCCCTGAGGTGTGAAGCCCTGCCGCCATGAATCCCAATTTTCCTAAACAACGCCTTGCTTTTAGTCCCAGCAGGAAGCAGAGACCTCCTCTCCACCAACCCACTCTTCCCACTCAACGGGCTCTCACACTGCTGATCCCCATCCCCGTTCACCCGGCTTCTTCTTTTCCGACGCTTTGACACCCTCACCGCCAGCTGTTTCCTCGCAGGAACCTCAGCCTCGTCCCCGGAATCCGCAAATTTCCTCAGCAGCTCGTCGGAAGACTTCTTGGTCACATGTTGAACGCTTGCAGATGCAGCAGCAGTAGTAGTATTACAAGTAGGAGTTGGAGCAGTGATAGCTTCCATTGTAAATTTGTAAAACGAGAGAGATATTGTGAGAAAGATAGTACGTAAAATTGCAATGTGGAAGCTTTATAATTTATATGTACGTGTTATTAGTGCTAATACTGTATTTGTAGAAATTGGACCGTTGGGGTTAGGACTTGGAGGAATTATTTGAATAATTGGGGGAGTGGGGGAAATATAGCCGTTACAAGGGAGACAAAGAGGAGCCTGGAGGTGCAGTGTATTATGATTTGCGAGCATGTGATTATGTTTTGGAGTACCAAAAATTCCAATTTGGCATCATTGTATATGGTTTAGGGTTCCCACGTTCAATCCTGACACAAATTTTGCAGAAGATGTGGTGGCGAAAAAGTTGGATCTGGAGTTTTTGGGCCAAGTAACGGTAATAATAATGGATTGGTGAGGAATTGGACCATAAGCCCACTATAAAAATCATCTTTTTTGCTCATAATAAAAAAAGATCATCTTTAAGAAGAGGATTGTTTAGCGATTCTTATGTGTTGAACACATCGAAGTTTATGGTAACAAGCAATATTCTCAGGATTTCGTCAACTTGTTTGATTCATATAGATGACTAAACAATCTCTAAATCAAATAATTTTTTTTTTCTAGAGATGGATTTGTAGATGATGATAACGGAAATAACCAATTTGAATTATGAAGTTTTCACAGTAAAATAATGTCACTTTGTCATGTAACAAGGAATTATTCGTTACATGTAACGAAAAAGTAAACGGGTAGTGAAGTCATTTGCATAATGAAGTGAGAGAAGTAACTAAGGAAATCTAATGCCTAATTGAAAATAAATACAATAAATATTAAGAAATTTTAACAAAACACTTATGGTACTGTTCACTTTTAACGAAAAACCATAATTTTACCTTTTCTTGGCACTATTCACTACACCTTTATTTGTTCTTTTTCATTAAAATTAAAGTTTTTTTTTAGACTTTCGTTAGTTTTCCTTGAATATTACACTTTGTAGAACATATATAATGATATTCTACAAGCAAATGTTACAATAAGAAACAAATATACTGGCCCCGCCAGATTCCATCCATTCGGATTTCTTTTCAATGGATCTCCACAAATGCTGTTAGAGGATGTCTTCAGAAGCCTGAAATTATGAATTTTGAATTTTAATTGAGAATATTTCAGTGAGCGTCTTAAGGTTGGTTTTCTGGGCATGCACTTCCAAATGTTCAAGAAATTCCATGCAACAGTACAGACTTCTTTTAGCGCACCTAAAATATTCCAGAACTTCAAATACTGATAGCGTCAACATAATATAGTCAAGCATGTTGGATTAGTTAAAAATACATCGAAACGAGTTTTGAGTCATCAATGCACCTATGAGATTACTTCTAGTTATTTTCAACTAAAAATCAATTAGCATGTGTATCGTAAAGATGAAGGATCGTGCCGTAAAGCGTCATAATTTCATGTTATTTCAGAATTTGTATCACTTGATCTTATAGAAAGAGCCAGTTGTCTTCTTTCTAATCTAAAATGGGAGTTTTATAAAACCTACTTCTACATCTCCTTGATTATCCTCTGTAAAGAGAAAATTGACTGGAGGCAAATTACGAAGAAGTAAGAACTGTCATTGATAAACCTTGTACCTTGTTGTTATGAGCTGAACTGAGTCCCGAAACTGAGTGTATGGCATTCATGATTCCCCAAGTTTAGCTGTATAATTGGGAAACACCAACATAATACGCATGAATGCAAGAAATTATTTAACAGACGAGACATGAAAACTCGTCTAACTTCACGATGACATCAAAATTTACTCCTCAAGAAGTTTTCAGCATAATCGAATATCAAACAGCTTACCACAACAGCAACTCCCGTCTCACAGAATTTAGGTATGCTAATGAGTCTGACCATCGGACCTTCAGATCCTGCAATTGGAAGTTTGTAGACTATTCAAGTGATGAAAAGAAATAAATAATTCATTTTTGGCATGAAAAGTATTTAGTAAATGATTACCGAAGTTACAAGAAAATAACCTTACTAAGCGACTATCATATTTATCCTGATTACCAACAAAGTAAACGTGAGGACAACTCTCGATCAGGAACGGATCCCTATCTGTGAAAGGATAGCACCCTGAAACATAATGATAACAAGAGAAACTCAAACATAAACCCATGGGATGACCAAAATTACAAATGACTGTCCTATTTATTTTCATTGTTTAGTCTCAAATTGGAGACGAAGTTCAGCCAAGCTGAATTCCAAGCCAAACAACCAATTTAACATAACAAATTGATTCGGGTGACCAATAAAACTACACAGGCAAAAGATATAATTCATACCAAGAGTATTAGGTGCTGTTGGTGCCAGATGCCTCCACCTCAATGTCCTTTCAATAAAATCAAGTTTATCCGTTGCTTCTGAATACTTATCAAGGTCATCTATATTTTGCCCCGATGTTCCAAGAAACCTGAAAGCCACAATAACAGTATGTCAAAAGTAATTACCTAATAAGTAATACCAAAACAAAAATTTTGATCGACAATGCGAAAAGTCAAATTAGATCTACAATTTTACCTGACATCATCAAGATCAAATGATATCCAAAGACAAACCTGCAGCAATCTAGCACAAGTATATTTAATTAAGCAGTGTAGTTCATGATAGGAGCACAGATGAGGTATATTCACTAGTTATATGATTAAACAAACCTGAGTCAACAAAATATCCAGCTCCTTAATTGGCTCAGACAGCCTTGATTGATCCTTTGATGCTAAATTCTAGCAACAATGGACAAAACGACAATTAGAAAGAGAATTACTAAGTTTTTCTGTAGCATATAAACCTATCAGGCATCTCGATTGAAAATTTAAGAAACTATACAACAAAAGGTTTAGGCTTTCCATTTTATTATTTCAACAAAGATTAAAAAACTTCAAAACTATGTTCTTAGGCTTTTCAGTTTATAAGAAATCATTAAGCAATATATTCATCCTATTAACAGAAAGATCTAAATGGTTTACCTGTCCATTAAGAAGTCCACGAGGAACCTCAATAGAATTTCCAGCAATTACAACATGATCTGTGCTGCAATACCTTGTACCTATTTAATGTTCTACGAAGTTAGTATGTTAAGACAGTTTTACATATAATGCACAGCACACGATAATGAAGGATAAGACGGCATGAAACTTCTCATCTCCTAAATGTCCTGTTATATGATCAACAAGAAGCTGAAACTGGAGATACAAAAACAACATATTTGCCTTCTCCTGTGTGAAACAAAATAAAATTAGTATAAAATGGTTGAGGTAAAGATAATTGTAAAAGAACAAGAATACTAGAGGAAAATGAGAAACTAAATACAAGACATTGTAGCTCCTCCTTAAACAATATTTTTTTATAGCCAATATTGTCTAACATACTTTTGCATAAATTCGACCTTTTTTCAAATGTACATTTCTCACCAAATTCATAATCCTAGCATTAATGTGTCTTTCAATCCCTACAACAGTTTGTAGTATTCAACTTGCATGAACTGATTTTGATTCCAAAGTTATTAGACCCTTCTATAAAATTATTAAATATAAGATGAAGGTCTATAGAAAAAAATAGGAGAGAACAAACATTTCTGCAAAGAAGAAAAATTGCAAAGTAATAGAAAGGGAGAAAACTCAGATTATACTTGATTTAAGTGGCAACTCTATCTGGGGTGGTAATCCAGCTCCAAGAACATCTAGGACTAGGAAGTCACCGGCATCAGTCTCCTTTCCATGTAAACCAACAATAGTCCCTATCAACATGTTAACGTAGAATGAGCATGTGATGCACAAGCCAAGCCAGAAATTAAGAAATTAGGGTATTTCTAGTTTCTTATGCAGTTTACACATGTACTGTTCATGTCTTTTAAGTCTCTCTATGTTACAAAATTAATGCATCAAGTGTCATAAATTAGTCTTTAAATTAGTCTTTAAAATTTCAAACTATATTTATGTAGATCTTTCCATATTCATGTACCAATTAGCCTACAGAAAGGGCTAATTTAAAAAACAAAAAGGGGATAGATACATCTTTGGCGGGAATGACTACAATACACCTTTGGTGTGATGCCAAATGCCGGAGTGAGCCCGGATGTCTTCTGTGTTCCTAGCTATTCCTATTGTCCTACATCAACATGCTTCAAACATATTGATTCATAGTAGAATGTTAAGCAATTTGGACTCTTCCCGGTCAAAATGAAACAGTTCGAATAAATATTTTAATTTGACAAAGACCTGTTACATACACAGAAAGTGAAAGCACATTCCCAGAAAGCTTAACTCTTCCACTTTCATCTTCGAAAATCAGATGGTCATCTGGGTGCACAAAATTATGAGGCTTGACAAGTGGTGTCACAGTTCTCTGTAAAATTTACAATATTATAAACAGTAAATGAGAAAACCTCAGAAATTAATAATTAACATTGCGCAAGTACACTACCGTCTTAGAGTATTCATCAAGAACACAAGGCTTGAGTTTCATGCGCTTGTAGAGGGTTCCAACAATGATGCATTCCTTGTCCCTTTCCAATCCCAAAACTCTGCAAACTACAAACCATACAGAACACCCTATTATTTCAGATTGCCATTTTACCCGAAAACCAAATCACTAATACTTCACATTTTCACATAAATGAATGAAAAATCCCAACAGCTAGCCGAAGAAAAATCCTGCCTTCATTCTAATCCAATGACATGTAAGAAAAGTTGAACCCCATTCTTCCTATCAAAATCCTAACTTTCTGCAAGCCCCGAACCCCTATTTCAATACGAAGACATTTGATATGCAGATATCATAAAAAATAATAAATAACATGACAATCAATGCAAAAAATTTAAACTTTAAATGAATTATAGAAAACCAATTATCTTCCACGGGTAGCCAACTCAAAGACAAACTTACGGGTACCGTGCCATCAACTCCGTCAAGAACGAAATTTAACAGGAAAACCGAAATCTAAAATTCAGCAAATGTTGAATAAATACAGAAAATTGAGAACCTGGCAAATGGGGTTTCCAGTTAGGGACAAGGGAATAGAGGAGGGTCCTCATCATATGGAGGCGGGCGAAGTATATTTGGCTGTACTGTTGACCCCTGTACATTTCCTTTTGAATCTCAAACCTCTCGTCCTGCAATTAACACAAAATCACGAAGTAAATAAAAACCCAATAAAAAATCGAAATTATGAAATAATTCATACTAATTGCTACAAAAAAATTCAGCTGTGGCTCGTAATTCGGGAAAGGTTACTGAGAAACCCTAGAAAAAGAACTGAACTTTCCGATTGAGCATGAAAATTTTTCTACTTTCCCTTCTTTTCTCGTGTGTTATCTCGGTAAACAAACAAGTTGATCTGGGAAGTACAATTTCTAGAGAGAGAGAAACGGGGGGAGGGAGAGAGTACGGACCAGCAATTTGTAGGTGGAATGCTTTCTGTGGAGGTTCTTCTCCGAATCGATTTTCATGGCTTCCATGGCGGGAAAATAAGCAGCAGCAGCAGCAGAGAATTTCACTGGGCTCGCTCTTCGAGGTGGCTCAGTTACTCTTACTAAGTAGTGCTTTTAAATGGCCTAATACAAAACTGATCAATTTCAATAAAATTTTAATGTCCTCTTGAATTTCAAGTAGGGGATGTAGCTCACATGGTAGAGCGCTCGCTTTGCATGCGAGAGGTACGGGGTTCGATACCCCGCATCTCCATTCTCTTTTAACATACTTTATTATTATATTTTGATGCTAATAAGAAAACAATTTTTTTGGGTAGGTTCATTATAATACTTTTGATACTTTATTTAGGTGTTTATAATAACTAAATGTCTAAATTCTAGTTTTATTCAAAACTTATAGAGAACACTACAAATTCGTCGAGAAGATTGCATAACTTATATGACTACATTGTTATTTGTTTGTACCATATTATATTAGCTTTGTAACCATCAAATGCGAGTCAACTAGGAATTCTCAGTAAGAATCCTTGCTTAGGCACCCTTACTTCCTCCAACTTGGAACCAACTTGCTCAAGGACAGGTGGTAACACTACAACAACGTTCCTAAAATTTCACATCGAGCATGGACAAGAGTAGGGAACTCTCCTCACCTATAAAAGACCTCTCCCACATTAAGGACTCTTGGCTCTTAGGACCCCTAATCCAGGCTTAGTCCTCTACTTATGTTTAAATCCTTGTATTATTTAAATAATATATTATTAATGAAAACTTCTTTAACCCGTGAATGTAGCTCAACTGAGGATAAACCACGTAGGTATTGTGTTAAATTCTGTACCCTTATCTTTTTACATATCATCATTACGTAGTGACATAAATACTCTCGCATAGGTTACTTTAACACATTTATGTTGACTCAAAATACACCCAATTTGTTCATCAACACGATTAAATTATTTCTCAAACTAAATTACATATTAATAAATACGTATAAATAATTTCCTATATAATATTGTGGTGAAAAAATTGAAAGTAAATTGACATCATTTTTCTCACTGGAGCACATATATGACATCACTATTACCTTATTTTTCCAATGACGAAAGTACCCCTCTCTCAGACACCCGAGCTTTCCCACTTCCCTCGCAGCCGTCAACCACCCACCTGTCTCTCCTCTCTTCCGACGATTCAAAACCAGTACACTTCTACTCTCTCAGCTCTCTCCCTAGGGTTTCTCTCTCTCTCTCCAATGGCGTCGGTGCAGAGCCACCTCTCTGCGTTTTCTTCCATAGCCTCGTGCTATTCGACTTCGTCTTCTTCGCCGTCGTCGGCCTTCTCTTCCACCGCCACCACTGCACTGGTTTCGGTCGGTAGGTCGCCGCAGCGTCGTCTGAAATTCAACGGAGACGGGAGAATTCGCCTCCAGCGGTCCGTATGCCGAGCGATGGTTCAGCAGGCCGTTCCAGGAGCTCCTGCTGCCTATGCTAAGGAAATGGAGAGGCTTTCCGCTAAAGAATCGCTTCTTCTCGCCGTGAGTCTTTGCAATTTTAATCTTCTTTTTTTTCATATATAATCTGTTAATTAGGAGAGAAGTCGTTAGCTCTTTGCACTAATTGGTTGTTTAGGAAGTGGTAATGTAGGAATAATGGCAAATCTAAGGCACTGTTTTGTTGCTATTTTTAGATTATACTCCTAAGCACAAAATTTGCTTTCTCCATAGCTGAAAAAGCACCTTTCGAAATTCAAATTACAAAAGTGCTAAAAGTATTAAAATTTAAATTGTTCGAATCCTGACAATATAGCTCCATTCAATATATCTGGAAATTATATATTTTGATTTCGCAAAGTTTTGGACTTGTTAATGCATTAGTGCAAATGTCTTGTTGTAGAACTTTTCAAGTTATCAATCAAACTCTTAAAAGTTAAAGTAGAGCTCCGCTTGTGCACTTGGGACGTTACAATTATTGCAAACCTATTTCTCGATTCAATAGAAGTCCAAAGAGGTGAGGTAAATAGGCTCCAATCCCAAATAACGAGACATAAGTAAAAAAGCCATACGATTTACATGTTTCTAGCGACTCACATGGCATCATCAAATGATACAAGTCTTGGGTTAATGTGGAAACCTTGTGTTTCAGTTTAAGGATGCTGGGGGTTTTGAGGCTTTAGTCACTGGGAAGACAACAGACATGGAGCGGATTGATGTGAATGAGAGGATAACTGCTTTGGAGCGGGTCAATCCAACACCACGTCCTACAACGTGAGCGCATATCTGAACAGTGCATTACCACATTTTTTTCTTTTTGGTTTGGATGAGATGGTCACTTGTTTGTTCAGCTACCCAGGTCGCCTTTTTTGGAAGGTCGATGGAACTTCGAGTGGTTTGGATCTGGAAGCCCAGGTTTTTTTGCTGCCAGATTTTTGTTTGAGTAAGTGCTGCACACGTTTATCTATTTCATTGTTTGATTGGTTCAGAAGACTTTCTTAGTTTTGGTATATAATTAGTTTGAAGTTTGAATTAAAAGGTAGCATACTGTGTTGGTGCAATTAAGCAATTTCTCTACTGGTGCAGGAGGTTTCCTTCAACTTTGGCTAGTTTGACAAAAATGCAGGTGGTCATCAAGGATGGGAATGCAATGATTACGGCAAAATTGAAAGTGTTCAACTCGGTATTTATTTTTTCTTTAAAAGTTACCAGACCTTTGTGTACTTTCAATTATATGATGAAGCACTCAGGATAAATACTGCACGTGTCACATATCCATGTCAATTCACAGCTCTAGCACAATTTTAAGGACATTGAACTTACATGAGTCATATTTATGCTGTAACAACAGTGTATGTTTAGGGAAAGTTGGTCGTGTTTGCATCAGAACCTTGGATTGCATGTGCAATTTGTTTAGGTACAACATCACAAGACCAGCCGGTAGATCTGTGTAACTAAAGTTTGCAACTTCTTTTCATCCTTTTTCCTGGAAAGTTAGGAAAAGTAGCAATTTTGGCAATTCTTTCCATCTAATTAAATTCGTGTTATATGATTGGTAGATACAAATGAAAGTGAGAAAGGAAGAGAGAAAGAAGTACAAGTTTTAGTCTGCTAGTATTTTCTAAGATAAGAAATAGTCAGTACATACTTTTGATTTAGGCATGATCTTACATATCATTTCTTCTATTTGTCTGTTCTATTTGAATTTTGATGTAATATTTCTTCTGAGCATTCACTATGCAACTCGAGCTGGTGCTGTGCAGATAGAAAGCAAATTTACTTTGTCAACCAAGTTAACTGTGGAGGGACCAGTTCGAATGAAAGAGGAATATGTTGAGGGGATTCTTGAGACACCAAAAGTTATTGAAGAGACAATACCAGACCAGCTAAAAGGTGCACTTGGTCAGGCCGTAAACACAGTGCAACAACTTCCTCTGGTTATTAGGGATGCCTTTTCCAGTGGGCTGAAAGTTCCTTTAAGTAAGCGTGATGCTTTTCTTAGCCAGTTATTTTCTTTATCTTAATTGCATGGTTGAATCTCGAGCTCCAGTAAACTCCTTTAAACGTGTTGTCTGAATAATATCTGCTATGTTGTTGGCTTGTAATACACAATGAAACAGTACTTGTATATGAAATCATGGATAACCAACTATTGGGATAGAAGATACTTGTGAATTTCTTGTATGAAATTTGACGCACTCCAATCAACTCCTTTAAATGCATGGTCCAAAGAATATGTGCTTTTTGTGGTTAGGTACTATTTAAGAAGACAGTATATGAACGTTTGAAACTGACTATTTGGGATAAAGATGCTTGGGAGTTCTTTTTGCCTATGAATCCTAGCCCTCCCTGCATGTTAATTTTAGCATGTGCGACTACGTTATAAACTTATAAGTACATAAGGTTCTCTACCTACCATTTGCAACACTATTGTGCTGTATTTGGCATTGCAGTTAATCAGCTGTTATGTCTCCCTTCTGTAAATCCAAGGGTACCAATAGTCTTCCTTGGGGTACTAGTTGACACTTGGTCAAAATCATGTGTCTACCACAAAATTTCTGAAAATGGTGTTGCCGTTAGGTTAGGCGAGCTATAACATTTTCCCTTGGACGATGAGCTATAACATTTAAATATACAAGAAGTTATAAATTCAGAATTGAGATTCTTGTTAATCTTTCCTTTTATAATAGAAGTTTTCCCTTTATTTCCCTGTTAATTGATTTAGATGGGGTTAAGAGAGCTATAACATTTGCTTTCCTTGGACGATGAGCTTCTTTTTCTTCCCTCTCAAAATGATTAATACCTAAGTCTCAAGGGGCACAGTCATCGATGGTATATGGTAGTGCTATGATATCTTGAAGGAGACTTTTTATTTGTAAATGTAAGTCTCTCTGTTACACTCTGTCGGTTAGAATGTTTTTTTTGTTGGTTGTCCTAAATACTAAAGTGCTCTAATGCACGGCCCATAACCAGATTCTTTTGATTGAGATTCAAACATTGTGGCATCAACTACTGCAGATATTTTATTTTGTCCAGTGAACACTTTTACCACTCAGATGCATCTCATTTTGCATGCAGTTTCCAAATTTTTTCTTCTTTCCCCTCTTCCTTTTTCCTTCTTTGCATGCTTGATCTGTTTGCAACCTAGAATCTAGAATGTTTAGGGGCTGTTTGGTATCCTTCTTGGATCCAATTTTTAGTTTTCAAAACTGATGAATGTAGCTAAATTACTTAGTACTTATGAGTTTCAAAAACCAAAAAAATGGGATCCAATAACCCTCGTTCAATTTTGTAGTAGCTTATGTCGCACCTTGCTAATGCTCAATCCAATAACCCTCATCCAATTTTTCCTTATCTCATCTTTTAAGCCTCTATACTAACCTAGTTCTATATAAAGTGTTTATGTACTCTTGTGTTATTTGTATTAGTATGTGCCGCTCCCTGCTAATGCTCCATCCAATATGATAAAATAAAGTATTTCCCGTACTAATTTATCTCTATGTTCACCCAGTCCTCATTATAAATCCATACTAATCATTTACTTTGTGCCTGCAGCTGGATCTTTCGAGAGACTCTTCATGATCTCCTATCTTGATACCGAGATACTTGTAAGCATTATACTGAGTATTAATTTTGTGATTCAGCTTCAATTTGTTTCACATGTGATTTACTTCGCAAAAAGTATGACCCCCTATCTCACTATGATTAACAGAATTGCATAACTACAAAATAATTAATCTTCTTAGTTTGACATATCAAAACTCGGTGGATTTAAAACAGATGATCAGTTTTTGTTTTAAGTATTTTAAAATATAGCTAAATTAATGTTAAAATATCTCGCATGGGGAAGTTAATTTATAGAGGAAGATAGAGTTATTTCCCTTTTCTTGGTGGCAACTGGAATAAATTTACTAAAGAATTGAGACTCCTCTAAGCTTTCTAAAAGTATTTAATCTGGTTCATTTTCATGTGTGTACTGGAAAGTTTTCTACATTTTAAAATACATTTGTAAAGAGTGTGCAACTTGTAGATGCATGAATCATGATGTATGCTTTTTCTTTTGGTAAAATATGTATGACGTATTCAGAATCATCTGTTATCACTAGATAGCGACCTTGGCTATTCCATTAGCCCGTTGATCGTACATGAATATTATTATCAAAGTCAATGGCAATCCCTTTTTCTGAGCCTTATTATTGTGTTTCGTGATTACATTAGATTTAATAAGATATGAAAGAAGTTTAAATTTGCTCCCTTTACCCTTGACCATTTTGCTAACCTTGGAATTTAAGTGTGGTTTAGAATTAGTTTTAGTTGTAATGATGAATTTTAGAGGTTTTACCTCTGAAATTTCAACTCTTTTCACTGTTTTTATGTGGACGGTCTCTGGATATTGCTATATTATCAATCTTACTTAGCATGTAAGACTTTCTGACTTTTAAGAGTCTACATCGACAGAGTTGAATACTATTTCCCCAAACCCTCACGCACAAGTTTAGGGGAGTCAAATTTAGACATTTGAATTTTGAGCGATTTACCTCATCCAACTGCTTTGCTCATACGGTTTATTGTCGATGCACCAAGTGAGAGGAGTGATGCATAGGTTAGGGGCTATTAGCGGTACACTGTTCATTACTTATAATTGTAGGTGGTAAAATATCTGGTATGAGTAATGGATATGCATTAGAAACTTTTTCCCTCGTCATCACCATAGAAGATCGTTTTAATGTTCGATATATTGAAGTCGCTGTGTAGCGCGATATACCTTATCACGTTTTAAATTCTGCAACTGGGTTTGATACAGATAATACGAGATGCTGCTGGAGTTCCTGAAGTGCTTACCAGGCTGGAAGAAGGCATCATAGAGTATGAAAGCTAAAGGGTGCTTTATGTAAGGGAACTCAATTTTTCTATTTTTTTTTCCTGCATATTTCAAGTAAAACAACTTCTATACTTTACCACTTCCTCTCTTAGTATTTCCTTGTTACCTCCTGAAATTCTTCCAAATAATCGGCGATGAGGTATTAAAATTAGGGGCAATGTTTATATCTTTGTAAAGTACTAAAATTGAAGTGAATGGACCAAACGTTGAGTCTGGTTTGGTTTGTTGTCCCCTGCAAGTCTCAGCATTTTTAATGTGTCTTAATTATTCTTGTGATTAATTAGGGATTAAAACTGGAAAAGAAGAGGGATAATATTTTTAAATTAGAGGTTTGTCAAGTGTAAAATTGTTTGACTAAGATGTGCTATCTGCTGCCGTGCTAATTTGAAATCAAGAGGTTCGCAGCCTCTCAAGCTTGACCTTACATTAACTGGAAGGGCATTCCAATTTTTTATTCAGGAAATGAATTTCACGCACTCTGCATGTTTCTTAGGAGGGTGTAGTCAAACTAAGATTTTAAAGGATTTTAAAAGTGATAGATTTGATATGATTTAAGAAGATTAAAGACTCCTACAAAATTCATATGGATTTTAAAGAATTTGAATGGATTGTGGTGGATTGTGGTGGAAGGATTTGAAATCCTAGGGGGTGAGGTTGGATTTTTTTTTAGTATTGGTTATATATACTTTTGGCTCTCAAATCCCACAAAGTTCACTACTTATTGAAATCCTCCAAAATCTTAATGTTTTGAATACGCTTAGAATTGGATGGATTTTAAAATCCTTTAAAATATTTTAATTGACTACACCTAGATTTTAAAGGATTCTAAAATCCTTTAATTGACTACACCTAGATTTGAATAGATTCTAAAATCCTTTAAAATCTTTTAATTGACTAAATTAGGATTTTAAAGTCTTTTAAAATCCTATCAAATCCAAGTTTGACTATACCCCCTTAATTCACCATTGAATGATTTGATCCTGTTATTCGAAACTCTACTTGTCTCTTAATTCAAAATAGAGTTATCATTTATTATTTTATAAAATAAAAAATACTAATGTTTTAATACGAATTGTCTTGGTTATTCAGTCTAGGGGTGGAGATGCACTTGGACAGTTATTGTTCATTTAAGGGGATTGAGTTGCCTATTGCCCACGGGGCCTTCCTACACTGAAAGTGCTCTTAGGGTTGGGAGCCTCCCTCTCCACGCTACTTTGGCCTCAATTTTTCATAATTGTCTCCTTCCGGACTCTATCAAACACATCGACCGGAAGAACATAGATAAAATTAGACGGTAACAAAAACGTAAAAACATATTTTATGGATAGTGGGAATGGAACACAATATTCCGGCGTAACAGTAAATGTTCTTTACTACTTGAGAGATGTCAATAAGTTTGTTGCTTAAGTATTTAAGAGCATTTATTTTTATACACGAGACCCTACACCTCCCTTATAAACTTGGCAGAGGGAGGAATCAAACAAAAAAGGGAGGAATTATAACTACTTTGCAGAGGGAGGAAATGAACACAACACATATTGTCGTAAGGACTCTCTAACTACTTACAAACTATGGAAATTAATATGTATTATGGCATGGATGAGTACGGGACGAATGTACATTAAGACCAAGGTGGTCTTAGGACTACACGGAGTCTAGAAAATACATATATGAAGGTCTTTTGAGAACTCTACGATTGCTTGGTATGGGTTTTTTTGTCCCTATAAGATGTTTGATGTAATGTCTGCTAGGCATATCTTGACAGGTTGTGCACACGAAATTTTTTCTCGAGATCACTCATCAAATTGCTTTGGCATATGCAGTATTTTTTGACTTGTTCATGATATAGTTTGACTGACGACAACAAGTACATCAAGTATTAGACGAAATACGTTAATGTATAAGTTTAAATTTCTTTTTCCGAGCTTCACGCTTGATCAAATCCAAGAATACTTGTACTTTAATACCAGCGAAAATTCAAATCATGAATATACCACTTAAATAAGTCATTATCTTAGAGGTGTACGGTCGTTGTAAGATGATACTTTTGGTGGTTTGAGTAATCCCAGTCGCACTGGACATCTTAATTATTTAGATTCAATAAATAATATATTTAATATGTCACAATTTGCAAATAAAAAATTCACCAAAAATGCTAACTTTTTCCAGTATGAGGATAACGGTAGAAGAGATTAATTTTTTAAATCAAATTTATACATTTGTAATATTATTTTTTTTTAACAAACGATATTATCAACATTAAGAAAGACGGTGGACTTAAACTCACAATGGGCTAACAATAATGTTGTTCAAGTTTGTTTTTGGTTATAATTGAATCTAAGATCTCTTGCTTACAAGTGAAGAGGAATACTTCTAGCCAGTAGTACTAAATTACAACTCTTTAAAATTGGGTTTTTTTTTTTCCTTATAATTTAAGAAGTAATTTTATAGGTAGCTCTTGGTGATGGTACAAACTGGTATTTATTCTAGGGATGTAATTTAATGATTCGCTCTCTTTCAAAGATTATTCATGCACAAAACCAGTTATGTGAGTACTTCCGTTTAACCAATTGTTTTTTTAAAGGGGGACAACACTGGTGGCGAACTATGATCATTCACCTTTTTCAGACCTACAGAAGATTAGTTGAGAATTGTACCCTAATCATGACCATGATCAAGCAGATTTATAACTTACAAAATATATCCAAAACCTCCTGTTTTTTTCCTTTAGGGAACTACTATACGCATTTTTCCATGAGATCAGTTGTCGTGATTTACTTGTTTAGCCATTTGACAATTTGCATTTTCGTATTAACTTTATCTAACCAAGTGTGTTATTTTTTACATTTATAGACAATCAAACTACATAAAATATTAATGAGTTTTTGTAAGAACAACCTTTAAAATAGAACCTAAAATATAAAAGAAAATGAATGAAAATGACTTGAAAACTTTGAGTTTTAACGATAAGGGCAAAATAAAGGGTAAAGTGAATAGTACCAGGATTGATTTTTTAGTGTAAAAATATGATTTTTCGTTAAAATGAACAGTACCGGGAACTTTTCGTTAAAGTTCCCAAAATATAAATGGTCCCTATCAAAGAACTTTAGTCTGGAGTAACCGTAAGAAGGAAGCCCCTTTGTAAAGTAAGGACATTGTTGACAAAGAGTAGCTTGATATATAAATATATATCCACATACGTATAAACATATATTGTCCGTACACATGAGATATTATATACAATAGTGTTACAAAATAGACATAAAACATAAATAATCATTCATCACTACTCTTACACTAATTTATATAAGCGCTTCATGTTTAAATTATTAAAACTACAAATTTGTTGCTTTTAAAGATTTAAGTAAAAAAATTCCTATCATTTTGGTGCCACTTGTCTCATAAAATTTTTTTTTTCTAAATTTTTCACGTTAAAAAAAACTATTTACTTATTTAGAGAAACTAACCATCCTATAATCTAGCTTTTTTCAGTCACACTAAAAAAAACCATGAACAATATAAATATATCATTCATAAACAAATATAAATGTACCACTATAATCGAACAATTAAAATTGTGTCTGAAACAAAACATAACAAAAATGGAAATAAATGTACAGATCAACAATTGTGTATAAAACCAAACGCACTAAAGTTGAAATTAAACGTACCAATCAACAATGTGAATAGAAGAAAACATACCAATTACTATATTATATTATCAAAACGTATCAACACGACTTAATTAAATTGAAAGAAAATATTAACACCCATGTATTTGAAAAACTTACCCACTAGATATAGTTGAATCTTTAAATTAAGGAAGGGACTATAAATATAGCAATTAATTAATTAATATTATTGAGGGAGTTTTTGAAATAAAAATTAATTTAATATGAATTGAAAAGCCCTTTCATCAAAATGAAAGCACTTTAATATAAAGTTAGAAACTAACAAATGTTTAATCAGCCACTTAGTAATATAATTTAGTGGTATTTCTCTTCACTTATAAGTGAGAGGTCTTACGTTCGTTTCTCACCAAAGACGAATTTGAACCATATTATTGCTAGCCCATAGTGAGACTAAACTCACTCCCTCTCTTTTAGTGTAGATAATATTGTATGTTCATAAAATAAAATAAAAATGTTTAATCAAGAAAAATTTTGAGAGAATTTTCTTTGATTTTTCCTCTAGACGGTTAGGGTTTTAACAAATCAATCAAGTGGGTTATGTGGGTTATGCACAAGAAATGTGTTTAATTTCGTATTGGGCAATAAAAAAATTGGAAGTTTCTCCGAAGGACTAACCATAACTTAACTTAGGAGTGTATCTGCACTTAATTTCCAAGAGACGGCTTGTGCTAATTAATCAGGAAAAAATAATTAATTGCAACAATACTCTTGCAAGAAAAGTAATACATTTATATATCAAACACCCTATAGTTTTCAGCACGTTGTTTTTAATAATTCTGGTTGCCAAACCCTAATCATCCACCTAGACGAACAGGTGGTCCCACATACATAAGACAAGTAGCAAATCCCACATCCAAAAAACAACGAGACAAAATAATAAAAAAAACCAAAGCTAAATGTTAATTATTCGATTCAAAAACAAATAAATAATTTATAAGTAATATCATAAATTTCTGCTTCTTCCAAATGAATGCAACTGGAAATATCTCTGCAGAAAAACAGATGATATCTCAAAAGCAAACGTTATTTACACAAGAAATAGAGAGAGATCAAAGCATCATAAAAATTGGAAAATTAAAAGACAGACGGATAGACAAAGTAATTTCACTAGAATTAAGTTAAAACCCTCTAAAATCCCAAGAAAATTAAACAAAATATTTCAGACTACTCTGATCAAAACCATACATCTTTTTTTCTTTTTCTTTTTTTGGGGTGAGAATTCCACAGAAAATATTGATTTTTTGACCTTCTAGACAAGTTGGGTTCCTTCAAAACCATGCAGGAGGTGAGAATTTGGAGCATCCAAAGTGGGCGGCAAAGGAAGCTCACCACCAAATTCCTGAATAAACCCCTCCAAGTCTGCAAATCTCTCAAGAAACCCACCAGAGTTTTCTGCATTCCACATCAGCCCTTCTGCTCCCTTAACCCTGTCTCTCGATTGGTCCACAAATCCCCTGCACCCATCTCTCATCTTGTCAGCCATGATCAATGCATTCTTTTTGCTGGGTTTGGGTTCTTCTCTGCTAGGTATACTTGTTGGGTTTTTCTTGTTGTTCCTCCTGTTGCTGCAGCCGCCGTTTTCCGATGGTTTTCCAGTGAGTCTCTGAACCAGCTCCCTGAAGTTTGCCACGTCAGTCTTGATGATCTCTGGGGCAAATATGTGAATAATTCGGATTTTGGGCTTGAATTTTGATATTATCTGTGAGTCTCTGTGGATTGCTGGAAAGTTTGAGCAGAAAGTATGCTTCTTGGTTAGTGTTTGAGCCTCCTCCATGGGAAATGCCGAGAGAGAGAGAGAGAGAGAGAGGTTGGGAGAGATGGGGGAATTGAGGAAGTTGGTGTAAATATATAAATGGAGGGGTGGTTAATAATTAATTAGTTTAAATTAGGAGGACAAAATGGGAAAAAAATAAGAAATGAGAGGGGAGAAAAAAGGCTGGCTTTGGGAGGGAGGGGTTGGATGAATCCTCTTGTGGCAAAATGTTAAAGAGTCAATAGAGTATTCAATTGAACTCAATGGTCCCCTATCTCCCAATTGGGATTTTATAATAATTTTGTTTGTGTATATTAATGTTATGTTTTGTGGAAGATGTGTAAACTTGTATAATGTATTTTAATTTTTTATCATACTTGACATGCCCAAAAACATCCCCTATATTTTCCATTCAACTAGTAACTAATTAGCCAATTGCAAAATTGTAAGGTTGAATCATGCCAACGATGGTTGATTCATTTGCTAATGATGTGCTTGTGGTTAACCTCCAATCAAGTTCGATTCCCGTTGCCAGCAGTTCTCATTGGCGCGCGATCTATAATTTTCAACGTAAATCCATACAAGTGGCAGCTAGCAGTTAGGTGCCACGCGTAAGTCCTTCTGACTTGATGTTGTGAGTTTGTCCTGACGTTGGTGGTGAGAGTAGCAAATCTGCCCCTAAACTTTTTCTTACCAAAAAATTAAGGTTGAATCACTTAATACGTTATTTAGACATACAAAATTAACACACTTTCATAAAATTCGGATTCAATATTAAATTTTTAGATAAAAAATTAGACACTTATGCTATTTTAGTCATCTGAATTAGGAGTAAGAATAATCCAGTTTGGTTTAGTTCAATTCGAGATTGAGGTAAGAAATCAAGCTCCAAATTCAATACCTTTTTATTTATTTTTATTCTTTTAATTTTTTTTAACACAAAATTATATCATTTTTTGTGTTTCATTTTGTAAAACTTGCGTTTACATACACTTATCAAATTCGATAGCCATGTGAAACGAGACTCAAATTTCTACGTGAAAGTCGAAACAAACATAAAGTATTTTTACTTCTTATAATCTTATGAAACCAAAACTATCAACCTAACAATCTTAATTACAAATTTCAACCACCCAACATTGCATATTCATTTATTCTAAAACTTTCAATTCTCAAACATCATAATAACATTCAACATTCCATCAAAGTAAACAGTCTAACAAGACTAGCTATGAAGATCCAAGTGCCACAAAATAATAAAATTAAACTAGTCGGTTTGGTTTGTTTTAGGAAATTTTGAATAAGTCAAACCGAATCAAATTAAACTAAGTATATATCTTATATCACCATATCGAAGTATTAGTGGCCAAAGTTTATATACAGATTACTTTTATGTGGAAAAGTTGAGGTTGGGGTTGAAATGGTATCTACCATTCACTTATCCTCTCTCCATATCCATATGGATAAATTGGTAATTATGTCATTATGCATGAATATGGATCACAACACAAAACCGTGTAGGTTGAAGAAAAACAATGTCATGGGTTCATGGCTTACACACAAATGTACGGCAGCGGTACCTAATCCCGCGTTTACAATTCTGGGCCAATGCTCCCAAGACCTAAAACTTGCTATAAGAAGTGAACAACCATATTTTTTTAGGTTATATATAGCAATCATATTAAATTGTATACAATCCAGCAAAGCATGCTGGAATAGTTGAGTGCATGATGCATGTTAGCCGGGTAGAATCGAAGAAAATAGTTTAATTAGCTGTGTATATATACAGTTTTTCTATGCTGCAGTTAGTTCACTTGCGGAACAATAACAATATATTATCTGCCATATATTGACAACTTTAACTTCACAATATTCATAGTATCAACTATCACTAACAATATCGAACACATATCCGCATTTTCTTTAAACGTGGTTAATTGTAATCTAAGAAATATATCTCTCTCTAGATATAAGAAATTTCAAGTAGAATAATATAATACATTTCCCATTAACTTTATAGCATCTCCAATAGATGTTGAAAACAACCAAATCTCTATTTTAAAGAGTCAAAAATAAAAATAAATAAATAAATAAATAAAAATTTGCCTCCAAGAGATGTTGTAAAAGAGTATAAAAAGATAAGTAAAAAAACTCAACGGTGGACAGCAAGGTGAAAAAGGAAGTAAGAGAAGGTTACTTTAGAAAATGAGAATGTTGAGTTTGACTTGTTAATAATAAAATATTCAAATTTTGTTAAAAATTAAAATATAGAATGTTGTCAGAAATAAAAAGTTAAACTGAGTAACTAAAATAGTTTTTTGATATTGTTCACTTGCAGATGATGTCACTACAAGTGGTATTAGATGAGAGCACGTAAGCACAGATCAAGAGTTCAAATCATGCATGTAACTAAGGAAAGTAAAGATCATATTAATTTTAAGCTACCTCATCCAAAAGTTTGACAATAATTAAACTAGTTAATTTGGAGACGATATCTATTTTGATAAGGGCAACACCAGCTATTTCCATCGTGTTCAAATCAATCTACACACAACCCATATATATATATATATATATATATATATATATTTGTAACCATATTTAATATTACAATATATAATATATTAATTAACTTAATCTCACTACACAAAGAGAGATATGTTCAATGTTATATATTATAAAACCGTAGTAACGTGAACGTTTGTTAAATGTTGGTCCAAGTTGAGTACTCTAACAATGGAAGATTATTTACGTGAGAGAATCATGTCTTTCATAGTTATGTATATAAAAGCAAACTTGTACGGATGCGTGAGGTATATGTCACTTGCTAACTTGCAAAACCGACTTGGATGTGGATATATGTCTCTTTTACCATTAATTTGTCTATTTTGTTTCACCTCATAGCTACACAGAATAGTACCATGGCCGGTTCTAAGTATTATCACTACTCACTTATGGAGCTTTCGATCACAAATTAACATATATGCAAAACCCAAACAAACTCATTTTTTAACTCTCTCTCAATTACGAGGTATCCATTTCATTATATATATATATATATATATATATATATATATATATATTGAGTACGCGAGTCATATTACGATAAATTATATATTCTGATTTTACTAAAGTGAACCGAAATTCCTGCTGACAACGGTTGAATAATGCTACTAGCTAGAAGGTGATGAATGCCATATAAAGAAAATGTTTAGGTGAGAATTTGGCTCGGTACCGTGGTCACATGGCATATGACTGCTTGCAGAATAATTGGTGCAACCGCCATGAGGCTTTTGGCTTAAACTTTTTGACCTTTTTACACCATCATGCATGCAGGAAAGGAAGTCACGCTAATGAGAACGCAACCCTAAAATGGATAGTGATGATTAGTCATTTGCAAGCTACCCAGAGCAGCTTACCATTTTTTACTTGTATAGGTGGGGCTATTTTCCAACAGAATTTAGTGGGGCAAATTTCTAATGAAGTAGTGTGCCTGAACTCCACTGTGGTGCATCCCAAATTCGAAACTCTCTATTCCTTTAAATTACTGTAATAGTTCGAACTTTCTCCCTCTTCTTAATAATAATAATTGAAAAAAAAACGCTGTATTTTATTCAATTAAAGAAAATATTTGTGCATATACACATTGGTTGCGGGCTTTCAATCTGTGCTCTATACGCAAAATAACATTGTCACATAAAACCGACACTAAACACAAACCTTCACGTTTTTAAACCAAAATACACAGTTTTTGAGTTTATATATGGATGAAGAAGAAATTAAGAATTTGTGGCATTAGAATAAAAAATAAGAAATTAAGAATTTTATTAGAGCTTTATATTTTTTTCGGGTGAAAAGCATTATAAATAATTGGCTTATTTTTAGCTATGTCTCCTACAACTTTATTTTGATCTCATTTTTTCTCCTTTAACTAAAAAATATCGCTTTACTCATTGAAACTCAAAATTCGTTTCACTTTGACTTGTGAGCTCTCTCCTGTCCCTAAAATTTATATGTTGCCTCCTGAAACATATGTGGGACCTAACACCCAATAAGACTATGTCACATGTGCAATCAAATTTGGTTATAAATCATTGTTATGTGTTATAACATTCAACAATCAAATAATATTAAGTTTAAAAGAAATTAAAGAGATGAAAAAGATAAAAAAGAAATTGATTAATATGGCGCCCCCAAATCAAACCATGTAAGAAATTAACAGATCGAAGGCACTGTGTAGCGAATTTTGAGTTTTATAGGGTCGACTTTCATGTTTTAGGTGGCAAAATGAAACCAAAATCGTTACAATGACAAAGTGAGGCGAACTTTGAGTTTTAGAGAGTAAACGACTTTTGAGTTATAAAAAGCAAAATGAGATGAAAATCGAGTCCAGGGGCATAACTAAAAATAAACCTAAATAATTTGGCAGCCGGCAAATAAAACACATTTATGAAAAACTAGCATATGCCTGTATATTGTCTGTAAATATTTTTTATTTCTGTTTTTAAAATGAGAAGGAGATAGGAGAGAGAATGTGGGTTGGAAGTGGGAAGAGAGATTTTTGTTTGTTATTTTTTATTTTTTTATATTAGATATATGTTAAAATCACTTAAGGTTTTAATAAAAAAAACAACGAAATTTAATTTTGTGAATTACATTATTGCTCTTTTTTTTATGATACAAGATTAAATAGTATTTTTATTTTTTTTGTTAACAAAAAGAATTATATTAATAAATAGTTTAGCTATATTTGATATTTAAGTGTACTGGTAAAGATCTTCCGTTATGATTCAGAGTATCATAACCGTCGGATGTGCACGTGATGAACTGACTTTCGTGATGATGGTGTTTGCATCATCTGAGAACACGAGTCTCGTGCGTGCCGGCTTGGGCCGGCCCGCGGCCCAGCTCATATGCATGATATGGTACACTCACAGCGAAGACTCAATCTCAATTACCACGTGGCGACGTGCCTGCCGTGGCTGTTTCCCAAGCGGGAGCCAATCCAACGAGTAAGTGCGAGGCCACTCTTTTGAATTTTGACATTTTTTTTTCGAACTTTAATAAGCAGTTTTAGTACCATTCAATTTAACG